AATTTTTATAAGATGTGCTACTTACTGCAGCTTCATCACTGTCACATTGCTTTACAGCTTCATCCACCTGGAAGAATTTAATATACAATTATTCAATCATTGTTCATTTAAATGTTTTGACAGTTTGTATCTCGTTATTGGTTCTTACTATCACCTTTTAATACATTTTATTTTCTCAGTGAAATAAACAGAGATAATAAAAGTCCATAAATAAATTTCCATTTCAAACAACGTGTGAAAGTGTGAACACTATTGTTAATTGAAAAAAAAATGCACAAAATGAATGACAGTAAGAAATAACAAATTATTTTTTTAAGCATTACTTACTATTACAGAATTTTGTGTTGAATTTGTATCATTGTATGTATCATGTTTATTGTTTTGCATTAAAATAAGGGAAGCGTTATCCACACAGCTCTGTGAATAACGTTGAGCGTTATCGGCAGACCGAGATCTGCGAATAACGCCGAGCGTTATCGGCAGACCAAAATCTGCGAATAATGCAGAGCGTTATTGTTAGACAGAAATGTTCCCATAATTACGCACATTTCTAGAAATAATTAAGATGACATTCCAAGCCGGGGTAGGGGTGTAGTTTTAAGTAGTGTAGGATAGATCGGTCGTTAATGAGAATGGCACAAACACATCTCAAAACCGAAGCTACCGGTATGCACAAGTTAAATTTAAAAAAATTAATAGGCCTAACTATAGCCTATATATTGGATATAGGACAATTAATTGTGCCTACATCTGCTCTGTTAGGGGCCAACATATTGGACCTATAGAGTGTTACTAATAGATCCAGTCAAACCTCCTACTCCTAGACATAGCTAATTTTCTGGTATTTCATATTAAATGTTATACCAGTAATAAAAATGGTACCGGTATTTTTCATGTAGACTCACTTTCACCCATTGTAGAGATGTCTTTAAATGATGTCAAAGCTTGATAGGATATCGTTTAGTTTTTTTTTAAACACTATGATATATCACGTAGTCCAGAAATGTTCTGTCAGAAATAGTTGACATGCCGTGCAAGTGTTATGATGCAGAGAGGTGTCTCCATCAGGCGGCCATGTGAGAGACGGGGAGGGGCATATAGGCCCTATATCGATAATAACAGAATCTAATCCTGTTTAATTTAAGGCTAGTATTTTTTCCTGATCCTTGAGGGTGTCCCTAAGTCTACCCAGCTCTGGCCTTAGCTGGGAAAAGTAAAGGTGGCTGGTTATTGCGCTGGCAATTAGGGGTGTGCCGGAATCCGGTTCCGCCGGATTTACATGTATCCGGAACAACCGGAATCCGGAATATACCGGATTTCGGAATTTGCCAGATTTTGTGACTCACCGGATCATAATCTGAAATAAAAGTCCAACATTCCAGTGCAGAACAGTGGGATCAAGTATTTGATTGTAAAAACCATCTCGTCTCTAGTTTTCTCCGTTTTCACAATCCCCGCGGTTCAAGGGAACAAAACTACGTCACACGCTGGGTAGCAGTCAAAGGGGGGGGGGGGCAGTGAATAGTATAAATATTACCGGTGACGCAGCTAACTAGTTCACTGTGACACACAAAGCAACAGTAGGACAATCATCGCCATCAATACGATACGTTGCGGTGATATTTTTATAACCTTTGACACTCCGACCAACCCCCCACCCATCCGTCCCGTATGCCGCAAATCTCCTTCATTAACAAACCCCACCTCCCCTCTCAGTTCGTACATAATATAATGAAGGATGGTCCCAACTTTAAACAAAAATTACAACCAATCGTTCTTCTCGTTCCATTCACCATTAGATTTTTATTGAAAAAGGCTTAAAACTTCAACAAACGAATTTTAATCGGAAAATTTTTTTTTTCACCGGCTCTCTGAAAATCGTAGTTTTGGCGGGTCTCGGCGTACAATCGTAAAAGACATCTCAAAATCGTACATTGTACGCCAAAATCGTAAGAGTAAACAGGTCTG